GTCCAACAACTCCTGTAAAAATTGTCAAATCAAACGTCTCTGCCGATTGGATTGTTTCAGACAGACGGACATATAGAAAGACAGACTATTACCATTTCACCCTTAAAGCGTTTGTGGCTTGGGAGTATTACACTTCATTGCATTCGTTGCTTTATGTTTGTGTACAGATTGATATTGATTTCACAGGAGTAAAGTGAACTTCAAATAATATAAACTGAGTTTTATTCATGAAAAAAAAATATTATTCAAATCATAACAATATACATTTTCACAACAATGAAATAAATAAAAACAATAAACGATGGTATATATCTATGCATATTAATAGCAATCCAAAATGTTATCTGTCACAATGGAAAAATATCCATTCAAGTTTGCAATTTAAAACAACTACATCTATAATGATTTCCTGCATGCCTTCACTTTAAGCAAGTTCATTTTACAAATCCTTTTGTTTACATCTCTTCATCAACTTTTAATTATCATATTTAAGCTTAGCATTCCAATCTGATAACTACTATTCTATACTCAATTTATAAATTGTGCACATTTTGAACAAATTACCATATAAAATATTCTTGTTTTACATGTGTTTAACCAATTTTCTTGCACATGGTCCCTCCAATATCAATTTTATCTTGACAAATAAACTCACAAACTGAAGTCATATGCAAAAGTTCAAGATTGATTGATCTATTGTTGATTACTTAATATCTAGTCCCAATATTTCATGCATATTCAGATGAGAAGAAATGAAGGGCAAACAATTTTGGACTGCCACTTAAAAATTTTGGACTGTATGTTGGATAGCAACAGAAAATTTGCATTGGAACAGGCAACCTATGCGTCCAACTAAAGTTAAAGGGTTCCTTTAAGAGGACTAGCATGGCATTCTCTCGACACAAGTAATGTCCCTATTCAGACTGCACGTGGCTGCAAATTTATACATCCTGCACACCTAAAAATATACTCCACTTTAGCAATGGTTTTACTGCCGGAATAGTAGTCCAGCAGACCATATTTCAATACCCCAGTCAACCCTTGTAATTCAAAAGTTCATGTACAAGTAATAAATTCACTTACACCTATCATGTATAATTACTGATTTATACACTTAATGAAATTTCTTTAAAAAAATTATAACTGTACAGTAAATCAGTAAAGAAACAAAGGTCATGATCTTATCTTACAATTAATCTTCATATCAAATATTAATGATGACAATTGTTTGCTGGCAGGACCAAATTATGATGACATTATCACATTTACAAAAATTTAGGAGTCAAAGTAACAATCACTACAAAAGTCTAAAAGTCTGAAAAGACCAGTTTTTGTCTTAATTTGCATGAACTTTTACTCGACATTCTCCAAAAGTATGACTTGTGTCTTAATTTTTCTTGACAAATTCTCATTTATATTAAATTTGTATGAAATTTACTCGACATATTCTCGACATTCTGAATATGGTCTTAAAATTTCTTGACAAATTCTTGACATTTGAATACTGTCTTGAAATTTCTCGACATATTCTCGACATTCTTATTTTTTCTCAGTATGGCTTGACATATTCTGAACATTTTGAATCGTGTCTTAAATTTACTTGACAGTTCTGAGTTTGACAAATCAATTGACCAATATTCATGATATAACTTTAATCTTTATTTCTCTTTATATGATATACTGTTGTTTCAAGTTACACTTCTTTACAACAAAAATAAAAGTTGGGCATGTAAAATAATTGAAAATTTGGGTATATAAATATTTTTACAAATGCAAATATGGCTATGAAATCTAAAGTATAAAATAATTCATATGTGGGTGTGTTGATATAAAACAATTTCAATGTGGGTTTTTAAATAATTACAAATTTTGATTCCTAAATCTTATAAATTAAATGATTCAAACCAATCATACTGTAGACATATTTCATTCTACATTCATAATATTCAATGTTGATATGGTAAATAATTATTATACCAAAATGTGGTTTATATAAATAGCAAATTATGATATACAAATCATTCATTTAACAGAAGAAAAATTTGTGTAATGTCATCTGTTGGAATATATTAAGTATTACACATGGACAGGATGTTCCCCATAAAATTAAGTTATTGCTTTACCTGTAATTAGCCATACAACTTATCAGTTGACCGACCATGCCACTACAATTTAAAAAGTTTGTTGCTAGATGAAAATGAAAATCATCATTTTGATGAAAAAAAATTGAATTGAAATGGATTTTCTTCATCAAAATTATGAAGTTAATTATTTTAACATAAAAACAAATTGAATAATTCCCAAAGATTAAAAGAAAATTATTATCTACTCCAGGAATAATAAAAAAAATGTATTTATAATGGGTCCCATCAATGATTTCTATAGAAATCATCGGTTTTATGAAATGGTTCTCAAACAGACATGCATAATATAGATCTAAACATTTTTTTCTTTTCAGGAAGGAGTTATCACAAATATTTATTTTTGATAAAAAATTATAAAATTCAACACTCAAATTTGAATAAAAAATGTTTTTTGGGTTGTCAGCCCCCCCCCCCTCTTTTTTTAGCCACACAAACCCAAAAGATGAATTGTGGGGTCCAAAAGAGATACAAGACACCTATTTTAGTAAAGCAAATTTGACTGGCAGTTTTGCGAATGGCAAAAATCTAAATGCTGTTTGTCAATACCTTCGACTTATATTCCAAGTGAAAACAATTACTTAAATGTTTAATAAAAATAAATCAAAATTAAACTACATGGGGGATTATTCAGGGTATTCCAACTTAGTTGCATCAAAAGGGTATCTTACTATACCAAATTAATCCTTGATTCTTCAAAGTTTAGTTTAGCCATAATAAAAAGGAGTATATAACAGCAATAGAATGTCATAAACAGTGCAGAATAAGTCTGTTCACATTTCAGGCGAAATTTATACTGTTGAGATAGTGTCAAGACATATTTAAGACTGTCAAGAATGTGTCGAGACATATTCAGACATTATTTAGAATGTCAAGAATATGTCAAGACATATTCAGACATTATTAAGAATGTCAAGAATATGTCGAGACAGATTGAGACAAATTTAAGACAGTCAAGAATTGGTCGAGACTAATCCAGACTCTTATCAGATGATACAGGAAGTGTCGAGAAATTTTAAGACAATGTTCATACTGTCAAGACACTTGTCAAGAAAAATCAAGAACCTTATTAGACAAATTCATACTATGTCAAGAATTTTTAAAAATTATTCAGACAAATTAAGAATGTCGAGTAAAAATTCATGCAAATTCAGACAAAAACTGGTCTTTTCAGACTTTTTGACTTTTGTAGTGAATTTCTTCATTAAATTTAGCAAGAAACTACTTGGCAACTGTGAAATTTCCATTCATTTTTAAAATCGCTGATGCATGAACTTACCCTTGTCAAAAGGTTCATGCATTTAATTCGCGAGAATAACAACCTGCAAAATATTCAAGAAAATTTATTGTCGAGGGTTTTTTTTAGTTAATAAAATCAACTTTAAATAGAAACTTTGACATTTCTAAGCACTTGAGAACTAATTGGTCAAGAATTTTACATGAAAAAAGTTCTTCTAAATTACTTCTTCCACATATTACTAGATGATGTACCTTGTATTAGCAGATTTCATGAAAGAAACAGGTAAATGTATTGAACATGACCAAGAAAAAAATAAGTGTATAAAACATGTACATGTATCTGGAATCTCTAGACACATACAAAAGGAAAGGACACTCTTATCAATGTATATATGCATTAAAATGAAGTCAATCACACATTTAAAAAAAAATCACTCATAAACATGTACCTTGTAAATTGTGCAAGAAATATTCCAGAAGTACTCCAATGAATAAATGATGAAGTTCCAACAAAACTTAAAACTTTGATTCATAAAGTTTCCACACAAAAGTTTTTAACACACATATATAAGTCTATATATCGCATATTACACTATTTGAAAGCCTAAAATATTTTCAACCATTACATGAGGGTATGGATGGGGTCCTTAATTTTTGTATTCTTTGAATTTTTAACGCATTTTTCTTTAGAAATAAATATTTTTAAATATATGACAAGGTTGCTTATTGAATTCTGAAACTAATCATGCTAATCCAATAATGATTTTTCTCACAGATGCTATTAAAACCTCATTCTTAAAATGCATCAAATATTTGTCAAATCTATTTATCTTTCCATAAAATAGCATAACTATGTCAGCTATAAGCATATTTTTTGTCAAAAAATATGATAGGGTATATATTTTTGTTATTCAAAATACATGAAATAAGCAGGGCAGTGGATGTCTCAGCTGCTCACCCCTACAACAAACAACATGATTGAAGTGCCCATCCCCACCCCCTGCCGAGAGATGGAGGAAAAAAACAAAACCTAAAATTAACTAAAGTGGAGAAGGATCTGCTTACCCTTCCGGAGCACCTAAGATCACCGGAGTTTTTGGTGGGGTTGGTGTTGGTCAGTATTTAGTTTTCTATGTTGTGTTTTGTATACTGTTGTTTGGTTGTTGCTCTTTTTCTTTTTTAGCTATGGTGTTGTCAGTTTGTTTTCGATTTATGAGTTTGAATGTCCCTTTGGTATCTTTTGCCTATCTCTAACTGTAGTAGCAATTATGATGCTTTCACTTGTCATATAAGAATTATCCAGAAATAGATAGAAAGGGGAATTAGAAACATTGAAAAAAACTTGAAATATACATCTGAAAATGTAAACACAATGCCTTAATAATATCATCCTCAATCAGACAATTCCGACTATTATTATGTTTATAGAAAATATTTAAAAAATACATTCTTGAAGTAAAATGAATAAAAGTTTTCCAGTGACTTTTAATTACTGTTTTGATTTAATCTGATTTTAACAATTAATTTGACAGCCAGAAACCACATACAAAATCAATACCTTTTCATGACTGAAAATGATGAAATATGTATTTATCACATGTTCATGCTGTTGTAAAATCCAATGGAATGCTTACTGACGCATCTATTTAAAATACCACAGGACTTTAGGTGATGTACAGTGTTTGAAATGAAATATATAGAATAATTATCATGATTATACACAAAACAAAACAAAAATATCTGAAAACATCAATTTTGAGTTAAATACATGACCAAATATTCCCAAATGTCATTTGTTAATTTGCATCCTGAATATTAGTGCTAAAAAAATAACACCTTATATAAATGTATGATGCCAATCTAAACGTGTATGACACAGGGTTCAAGGACAACCTTCATCAGGGAACAACTGGGTAAAATCAATCATTTTCCACTTATTATGCTAAATTAAATGATGGAATTATTATATCATGTGTATTAAGAACAAACAAATATACTTTTCCAAAGGACACCATGCCCCATTCATACTATCCCATTTTAATGTTCAGTAAACAACAAAATCTTGGTCTAAAATCTACTTTTGCATACATTTTTAAAAGTTCATTAACATGATTAATGAAATTGAGTTGCATAAATAAATGGGGAATGTGTCCATGGGACACAGATAATGCCCCCGCTTGCATATAACGTTATAAAGGGCCATAACTCAAGAACTGTAAAAGTGACACTACCCAAATTTGAACTTGATCTGAGTTTTGTGGTAATAAGCATTGTTTATAAGTTTCATAACATTTAGTTGACGTAAAATTAAATTAGAGAACAGAAACAAAAAATTCAGCATTTTTTTCATTTTTAAAGGGGCATAACTCTAGAACAGTAGAAGTGATGCCACCAAATTTCAATCTTTATCTCTGTTTTGTGGTAATTAGCATTGTGCATAAGTTTCGTAACGTTTGGTTGAGGCAAACTAAAGTTAGAGAACAGAAAAAATATTTCAGATTTTTGAGATTTGTAAAGGGGCATAACTCTAGAACGGTAAAAGTGATGCCAACAAAATTCAAACTTGATCTGTGTTTTGTGGTAATAAACATTGTGGATAAGTTTCATATCATTTGGTTAAGGCAAACTCAAGTTAGAGAATGGAAACGAATAATTTGTAAAGGGACATAACTCTCAAACGGTAAAAGTGATGCCACCAAAATTCAAACTCAATCTGTGTTTTGTGGTAATAAGCATTGTGGATAAGTTTCATAACATTTGGTTGAGGCAAACTAAAGTTAGAGAACGGAAACCAATTTTGGGATGTACGGACAGACGGACAGATGTATGTAAGGACGTACAGGCGGACAAGGGTAAAACTTAATGCCCTCTCCACTACGGTGGGGGCATAAAAATTGTTTTGACCATTAGCATTAAATTATTGCATGATTAATTACATACACAAAAATTTTAACATGGTACGTACAGGACGAAAAAATGAAAGCACACATAGACCTTTAAACATAATACCCCTATACTATAGTAGGCTGGGCATAAACAAAAATCCCTTAGACATGAGCCCTTGTATCACAGCAACATTTAATCACAGAACTACAATAAAGTAGGGAACACATGTCCAGAGAAATCAACTGAGTACATCTCCTAATATCAAATAATTCTTTAAAGTCACTGGAAGTTCTAAATGTTGAACTTTATTGTGTATCTGCTGACCTAACGACCGTCTAAAAAAATTCCTACACACTGCTATCAGACGTGGAGGTTCTGAGGCAAACTTTTTCAATAAGGCTTGCATGTTTAAATCACGATTTTCCTTCGGATACATATCGTCACTAAATACCCAAGCCTCACTGTGAAGATTGTAACCAGCTGCTATCAGTAACAACATAATTTCAAAACACCCTCTGTCAACCGCAACATACAGAGGTGAGCGAGGCTTGGGATAAATCTGTACTGCTGTGTCACTTTGGGAATGTTGATTAATACCTACGCTTGCTACTTCCATTTCTACATTAGCTGTTAGAAGTAGTTTTACAATATCCTTATGTTTCATGTACACTGCATTCCAAAGAGGCGTGGCTTTGTAGCTGTTTTGGCAATTTGGGTCGGCTCCACATTCCAGAAGTTTTCTGACTCCCTCGACCATATTGTTGTATGCTGCATAATGTAACGCAGTGTCCTTGTCCTTATCAGCATTGTTTACCTTACAACCTAACGGCAATAAAATATCAATGACACTCTGATGGCCACCATGTGCTGCCAAGGCAATGGGTGTGTTACCGTCTCGCGTGGCTGTGTCATGATGCATTCCTGCCTTCAGCAGAATGTTGACTATCTGATAGTATCCATTCCATGCAGCAATGTGGATAGACGAATACCTCTGTGGATTACAGACATTAATGTCTGATTGATGGTTGACCAGAATCTGAACAATTTTCGTTGATCCTTGATAACAGGCTGTCAGAAGAGCAGTTGTTCCATCACTTGAGGTCAGGTTAGGGTCGGCACCAGCCTGAAGTAACATCTCTACAATTTCTTCATTTTCTGTAAAATGTAATTTATTGAATACAAATTCTCAAATTTGTTTTCATGATTGCAAATAATAAAAGAAGAATGTGTCCATATGTATGTAAATATGCTATTTATTAATTCAAACCATTGACATTTGATTCAGCAACTTTTTCATTTATAAAGGGATATAACTCTAGAACGATGAAAGTGATGCCACCCAAATCGAACTTGATCTGTGTTTGGTGGCAATTAGCATTATGTAAAAGTTTCATAACATTTGATTGATGCTAGCTAAAGTAAGAGATAAGAAACGGCAATTTCAGCAATTTTTCTATTTAAAAAGGGACATAAAATGAGAACGGTGAAAGTGACACTATCCAAATTAAAACTTGTTCAGTGTTTGGTGTTAATAAGCATTGTGTATAAGTTTCATAACATTTGGTTGAGGCAAGCCAGAGTTAGAAAACCAACTGTAGAACATATTGATGCAAGAAAAGTTGGACAAGGGTAAACCTTAATGCCTTAAAAAACCTTCAAAAACAAGTTATCTACTTATAAAACATGCAAGAATCTAAGACATGTAAGAATGATGTCACAAAGCGACAAAAATGTTCAAGCAAATCCCAAGTTTAATGGTCATGATGGTGTAAATCTACCATAACCATGTTCATAGCTTTATCAGTAAATTCTTTTTTTTTTCAGAAGCATCACTGATTAAGATTTCTTATTCCTACTTTTAAATCAAAATTGTTACCTGTCTTTGTGGTCTGTTATTCAAAAATATTCTATATGGTGATGATAATTTTTCAAAAATTTAGCACTTTATTAATAGAATCTTACAGTGCATACACAGATAACATTCGAACAAGTTTGGAACAACTCTACCACATGTTCATACATACCAACATATGTAGCAAAGAACAATGCTGATTCCTGTCTCCTGTTCCTGGCATTTAGATTGACTCCTCTGGATATTAACCTCCTAACATAATAAGCTCCCCTCACAGTACCTAACATCAATGCTGAATTCCCCCGATCATCTGTCACATTAGGACTGGCCCCAGCATCCAGTAACATCCCAAACATCTCTTCATCAACCAGATGCATTGCCAAGATAACTGGACCTTCATTACTACTGTTCCGAATATCTAAATCAATATTCTTCACTTTCAGCAACTTTTCTACAATGTCCTTATAACGACTGACCATTGCTAAGGCCAGAGGGGATATTTTATCTGGATTACTCTGGACATTCACATCAACATTTTGTGATAATAAAAAGTCCACAACATCGACTTGATGTTTCTTCACTGCAAAATGAAGCGCTGTCCTTTCATATATATTTGTTCTCACATTTAAATTACAACCATACTGTTTCAACAATCTGACTAGGTTTTGAAATCCCAGCCCAGAGGCTATGTGTATCAAACTTAGTGATGGTTTGCAATCCCTGAGTCTATTTTCATCACTGGAATAACAATGGCAAATTCCGCTACGAATATCGTCCAATAAAACATCTAACAAACCTTCCACTTGACTTGTGCTGTCAGGAAGTGAAGCGTAAGGGAAAGATTCATATATTTTGGCACAGGTACATGTCTGATCAGTTTCTATAAAAAATGAAAACAGTTACATGTAAATACCCAGAATTGATAAACAAAGTTCATATCAATTGTTGCATCAGACATATACAGATACATTTATAAAAACACTATTGCATGAAATTCAAATGTTTTTGTTTGTCAATCTGATATTTTTTCCCTTTTAGGTAAGGTTTTTTGTGAATTCATTATTGTAGGTTATATTTAACATCTTAAATTTATCCTTTTGGTCTTCACGAATTGATGTCTCTTTGGAAATCATATCACATCTCCTTTTTTCACATTTTAATATAACATATTTCATCAATTTTATGCAAAATAAAAATTGGTAAGTGTCCTTATTTTCTAAATTCAAATTCTCCAAACTTTTACAGGAGCATATGATAAGAAATTTAAGGCTTATGTTGAAAGTATAAATGAAAGAAAGTTTTTTTTTTAAATCTAAATTTGAAACATTTGCTATGTGTATTTTGAAAGTTTTTGAAATTTAAACTACGAGTACTGTGCAAAGCTCAAAAAAATTATACTCCTGTCCCTTGCAAGGTTTATAATTTGATAAGGGGAACCCTAAAAATAAATTTGATAAAAAAACAAAATATTAGTAATGGTATAATATGGCGATGAATCAGAGAAAGTTTCAATAAATTCTAATCAGGGTTTCAGGAGGAGTTGCAGATACAAAATTGGTACCCTCAGATAAGCAATATATATATAGCAAAGTCCATGATTTACTAATGAAATTCCAAAAATTATTCTTATAAAACAAGAATATGTGTCTGTAGAAACATCATGCCGTACTAGCACTTCTACATTTCTGTGTTCATTGAACCATTAAATCTAGGTCAAAACCCTAATTTGGCAGATATATTTGACAAACCACTTAATAATGAAAATGTGTACTAAGTTGCAAGTTGAAGTGACCACAAACTATCCTAAACAAAAACTACAACATACCATAAAACAAAAACTTTAATCTGATACAGGATGGACTAATGGACAGACAACTAACATAATGACAAAGACACAAAGTTCAAATCTAAGAGTAATCACAGTCACTGAATAAAGTTGAGAATGGAAATGGGGGATGTGTCAAAGAGACAACAACTCGACCAAAGAGCAGAAAACAGCTGAAGCTAGTTCAAAGACCATTACAACTATTTAATCATTCTTGTTCTCTCGAACTAAAGTATCAATCAGTACACATCCAACAGATTTAGCATAAAGACATCATAAACAGACTGAGAAATGCATGATCTTGTGCAATGCCAAAATATAAGTACATAGTATAATTTGTAAAGTTGGCCTCTATTCTATCAGGGTCAAAACAATACCATCTGTCTGATATATATTCTCAAGCTTTTTAAAAGGCTGTAATAAATTGAAAGTATACATATAACAAAACTAAAAAAGCAGAAAAAATGCAAGGTCCATGTCCTTTGTTTTGAGATATATGCCATTGAAAATTTGACAGGAAATGATTCTCTCTGGATTTATCATACATTTAACGTTGGTATCTTTTTTCTTTCAAAAACTATGAAAAAATAACAAGGATTTTATAAGATTTTCAAAAAATGGTTTTATGAAATATATGTAATAAAAATTATGAAAAGAAAAGTAGGGTTAGCAGGAATAATTTGTAAATGGTACCATATGGATAAAAACCAGAGGATTCCTAATACATGTATCTGGCAAAAAGTCAAAAACAAGATAAGCGAACTTGCTTAAGTTCTAATTTGATGTAAAGTAAACCTAAATAAATGAACAATGTGTCCATGGGACTAATGAACTAACAGACGTACAGACAATGGTAACACTTAATGCCGCCTCCGCCACGGTTAACCAAGTCTGGAAAAATGAAAAAAAATCTTTAAAAATACTTAGTTGATTACACAAATTAGGAACCCACTTTTCCCACCCGCCTGTCTGCCAATCTGAAAGCCCTTCTTCCTGACATCATCATACTATAAGTTGGTTTTGGACTTGGTCCAACCCGCCCAAAGTCATCCAGATGAAGAAATGAACCAGGAAGTGCAAAAGTATGTTGGTTGAGTAAAATTCTATGTTAATGTTTCCCAAAATATTGGGAAGTGGTTCAGGAGCACTAGCAGATATACAAAAAGGTGAACAGCAGACCTAACTAACAGATCATCCTTTTAACTATATAGTACTGCTCGCTTCACAAAGCAGGGATAATAAAATCTATGCCTTTCTCCAAATGAGATGGTAGCACAATACCTACCAATAAATATTTCCAAGTCTAAGATATCTTTGTGTTTGTCGAATAACTTCACTGTGTCTTCATTTTCTCCATACATAACAATTTGTTCAAACAGCAGAGCCTGTATATGTCTGATATCTATAAATAAATTCAGATATACTTAGTTAATTTCAGTATACTACTCTTTTCTAATAATTGAATGTAAGTACTGCTGATATTAAAGTAAGTTACTTTCAGTGACTTTGCTACATGTAACAGTTTAAGTCTTAGAGAACATGATTTATTTATTATTTGATATTGGCTTTGAACTTTTTTTCTGTTACTGTGAGTTCTCTTAGATTGGTACTTTTGGTCTTTCATCTGTATGTTCATGATGTTAGTTGTTTTTTGTGCTTCAAATTCATGCCAATCTGATGAGTCTTTTGAATTCTATTTCTTTTCAATTGTCAAAAAAACAGGCAAATGAGTCACTCTCATTTATTTGTAGGATGTTATAGCAATACTTTTATAGAAAAAAAAAAATGATGCAGCAAATCTTAAGAACTAATTGTCGCACAAATGTGAATTTTTTTCGCACAAATGTTACATAAAATCGAGAATGGAAATGGGGAATGTGTCAAAGAGACAACAACCCGACCAAAGAGCAGAAAACAGCTGAAGGCCACCAATGGGTCTTCAACACAGGGAGAAAATCCCGCACCTGGAGGTGGGCTTCAGCTGGCCCCTAAACAAAAATGTGTACTAGTTCAGTGAAAATGGACATCACACTAAACTCCAAAACATATAAATGAACTAAAATTAAAAAACATACAAGACTAACAAAGGTTGGGACAGGCGCAAAAATGAGGTTGGGTTAAAAATGTTTTGTGAGATCTCAACCCTCCCCTATACAATGTATACCGCTACATAATCAGTGATAACATGCCTTCTACAGTGAAATTTCGCCAATTTCAACTTTTTCTCAGTATCACACTGTTATATCATGAACATATCACATGTGATTGATATTTCTATAATTAATCACAGGAAACACCATAAAAGGTTTATTTCATAGTCAACAACTACTGGCATACTTCAAAGATAAGTATGGCAATTAAAATAATAGTCTAGAGAAAAAATACCATGGAAATAAACATCTGAGGGATTGAATTGAGAAATTACTCCATGTTTATCCCAGTTGGGAGAGTTGCTGGAGTTTTATTGTGTGACACCAAGATTTGACACAGTTTTTAGAGTATGACAATCAGTGTGTAGTGTCATGACTGTATATATTTTCAATGTGAAATATATAGACAGAAAATATTTCAGACAGAAGATCCCCCCCAATCACCAGAAATCACTCAAACCCCTGAGTATTTTTTCTCTAAATTACCTTGAGTGTACTGTTCAGTTTGGTTTGGTTATCAGCTGAAACTATACAGGTCTAAATGACCATAAAGTGCAAGTAACATACAGATCAGTATGATACATGTACATAATCAGTGATAAAAAAAGCTGCTTCTTTATTAAATAAGAATTAAGGCTTTTCATATTATCATTGTAAAACATGAATTATTTAGAGAAAGCTTTTTTCTTTAAATTGACAACATGGTATAAATATTATACGTTTCATGCTTCAAAGATTGATCAATCATGACATTAAGGATTTAGAGAAAGCTTTTTTCTTTAAATTGACAACATGGTATAAATATTACCACGTTTCATGCTTCAAAGATTGATCAATCATGACATTAAGGATTTAGAGAAAGCTTTTTTCTTTAAATTGACAACATGGTATAAATATTATACGTTTCATGCTTCAAAGATTGATCAATCATGACATTAAGGATTTAGAGAAAGCTTTTTTCTTTAAATTGACAACATGGTATAAATATTACCACGTTTCATGCTTCAAAGATTGATCATTCATGACATTAAGGATTTAGAGAAAGCTTATTTCTTTAAATTGACAACATGGTATAAATATTACCACGTTTCATGCTTCAAAGATTGATCATTCATGACATTAAGGATTTAGAGAAAGCTTTTTTCTTTAAATTGACAACATGGTATAAATATTACCACGTTTCATGCTTCAAAGATTGATCATTCATGACATTAAGGATTTAGAGAAAGCTTTTTTCTTCAAATTGACAACATGGTATAAATATTACCACGTTTCATGCTTCAAAGATTGATCAATCATGACATTAAGGATTTAGAGAAAGCTTTTTTCTTTAAATTGACAACATGGTATAAATATTACCACGTTTCATGCTTCAAAGATTGATCATTCATGACATTAAGGATTTAGAGAAAGCTTTTTTCTTTAAATTGACAACATGGTATAAATATTACCACGTTTCATGCTTCAAAGATTGATCAATCATGACATTAAGGATTTAGAGAAAGCTTTTTTCTTTAAATTGACAACATGGTATAAATATTACCACGTTTCATGCTTCAAAGATTGATCAATCATGACATTAAGGATTTAGAGAAAGCTTTTTTCTTTAAATTGACAACATGGTATAAATATTACCACGTTTCATGCTTCAAAGATTGATCAATCATGACATTAAGGATTTAGAGAAAGCTTTTTTCTTTAAATTGACAACATGGTATAAATATTACCACGTTTCATGCTTCAAAGATTGATCAATCATGACATTAAGGATTTAGAGAAAGCTTTTTTCTTTAAATTGACAACATGGTATAAATATTACCACGTTTCATGCTTCAAAGATTGATCAATCATGACATTAAGGATTTAGAGAAAGCTTTTTTCTTTAAATTGACAACATGGTATAAATATTACCACGTTTCATGCTTCAAAGATTGATCAATCATGACATTAAGGATTTAGAGAAAGCTTTTTTCTTTAAATTGACAACATGGTATAAATATTATACGTTTCATGCTTCAAAGATTGATCAATCATGACATTAAGGATTTAGAGAAAGCTTTTTTCTTTAAATTGACAACATGGTATAAATATTATACGTTTCATGCTTCAAAGATTGATCAATCTTGACATTAAGGATTTAGAGAAAGCTTTTTTCTTTAAATTGACAACATGGTATAAATATTACCACGTTTCATGCTTCAAAGATTGATCAATCATGACATTAAGGATTTAGAGAAAGCTTTTTTCTTTAAATTGACAACATGGTATAAATATTATACGTTTCATGCTTCAAAGATTGATCAATCATGACATTAAGGATTTAGAGAAAGCTTTTTTCTTTAAATTGACAACATCAGTGTTCTCCCCAGACCATTAAAGGACCACGGGCCCGCGATGTATAATTTTTTACCGCGGTGGTATCGTTCTTACCGCGATGTATAATTTTTCTCCGTGGTGCTAAAATTTTCAGTTAAAAAATCGTAAATCGGTAAAGTGTTAAACGACTTGTTTAATCTTTTCCGTGCGGTATAAAATTCCAGGTGAAATTTGACCAGTTCAAACCAGTTCAACACGGATTGTTTACACCACGTGATCGATTTACCTTTATGAGGTTAACCTTTGTTGATTGGATTTAATCGATGTAATTAACACTTTTTACATGATTCTTTTGTGTTTTAATTTAGAAATCATAACTTAATGATCATAGATAACTATTTTAAGGCTTCACTCACCACCTGACAAGTCGGCAAATACTTTGTACACAAACCGTGTTGACCCGATAGTTGCACGACGGTACATATTTTGTACATTATAAAGTTAGCTCAATACTTATATTATAGTTTTATATGTCTCTGATTAAACCATGGCCAAAATTATCTTTAATTATGACATAGTTATTGCATGATATTCCGGTTTCAAACTGTCAACAAGTAATTCAAAGTGGAAGGATCCCATGACCCAGTTAGTTCATGTATAATATTCAAAATTATTTACAATTAACTGCAATCTATTCTATTTTATAAATAAAATGCATGACTGTACCTTCAAACTGGATATCTATATCCATATGATCATTAATGAATAACAGAAGTGATCTTGCAATTTTAATCCATAAGCACATGTTAAATCTATTTATATCTACTTCCTGTCATTTAGGCGGGAAAATAGGGAGACTTTGTTGTTGACATTGAATATGTTACTTATAGATCTATAGACCTAAGATAAATTTATAGATTTAGGAATTCTTTTTAAATGGATCATGACAAATAAAGATTTAGATTTCAGTGCAGTATTAAGTCTGTATCTATGTTTGATCATCACCAAAGACAAGAAAGGTTAATATTTACATGTACATGAAATCTATGGCAAAATGTTTTAAAATTTGTGAAAAATTTCTTTTTATTAAAATTTAAGATAGAAACTGGTTCAAATTATAACACAATTTTGTTCTTGTTAATTTTATATCTCCTTATGACAGGAATCCTTTCACATACAACAACTTTCTTTCTAGAAACTAGAAAGTATTTTTAAATTGAACATTTTTGTTCTCTTTTGAATCTGGGAACAGTATATCTAACAATATATATGTTCCTGTTTGAATGATATTTTATTTTTATTGATCATGGATAAAAGATTTAATTACTTTAAATTTAGATGAATATTATGTAATGAATCATGTTTTATTTATTTTCAAAAAATATTAAAAAGAATACAAACTGTTTTATTGATCTTTTTAACCAATAATATTCTGACATAACACAGTACCACAGTATTAAAACAAAACAAGAGACATAAAAACTGCAGTAACTAGAAATATAGCGACGCCACGCGACACAACTGATTGTATGAATCATTTCACCAAGCTGTTCACACGTTTTACCCTGGTGCTATCCAAAAATCCTGGGGAGAACACTGCAACATGGTATAAATATTACCACGTTTCATGCTTCAAAGATTGATCAATCATGACATTAAGGATTTAGAGAAAGCTTTTTTCTTTAAATTGACAACATGGTATAAATATTACCACGTTTCATGCTTCAAAGATTGATCAATCATGACATTAAGGATTTAGAGAAAGCTTTTTTCTTTAAATTGACAACATGGTATAAATATTACCACGTTTCATGCTTCAAAGATTGATCAATCTTGACATTAAGGATTTAGAGAAAGCTTTTTTCTTTAAATTGACAACATGGTATAAATATTACCACGTTTCATGCTTCAAAGATTGATCAATCATGACATTAAGGATTTAGAGAAAGCTTTTTTCTTTAAATTGACAACATGGTATAAATATTATACGTTTCATGCTTCAAAGATTGATCAATCATGACATTAAGGATTTAGAGAAAGCTTTTTTCTTTAAATTGACAACATGGTATAAATATTATACGTTTCATGCTTCAAAGATTGATCAATCATGACACTAAGGTACAAATGTACGAGAGATATATTGTTCACCTGTATCAGATCTTTTTGATTCTTCGTCCATCTCTTCTTTCTGAAAAAGATTGATATGATCATCAGTTAATTACATTTCTTAAAATTCATTAATGCCTTATATAATTTTTCATTCACTTTCTTCCCAAAATGTACACAGCTGTGTACACAGAACTCTCATTTTCTTAAGCTTCTGGACATCTCAATTAATGTTCATTGATCAACATACTGATAAAACTAGAGGAACTCGAAAGAGTAAAGAACCTGTGTTGCTCACCAGATCTGTGCTCCAATATTTAAGACTAGAATGTCTTGAGCAAAATCTCTTTTAGTTGACCTTGTAATGTATTACTGATAATTTTTTCTGTTTACAGTTTCTCTCTTTAAATAAGAGAATGTAGTATGATTGCCAATGAGACAAATATCCACTAGAGACCAAATGATGTATATGTAAGCAGCTATAGGTCGCCGTACAGACTTCAACAATTACAAAAACACCTTTACCCATACTTATATAGTAAGCTGCAAAAGGTCCAAACATAAAAAATGTAAAACAATTCAAATGATTAAACTAAAGGCAAAACATATGTACAAAACAAACTACTATAGATTTGTCTATCATATGATCAGTCAGGGGACTTACTTAAACGAGTGATTTTTCTAAATCACTGATTCAAGTAACATTATGTCCATAAAGGTTGGAAGTAAGAGTTGTCTTTCTTTAATAATCACCTATTTAAGTAGTACAAATTAATCACTAGACTAAGTAATTTAATTTTATTGTAGCTTTAAATATAGAATACTAATGATCCAGGGACTAATTATATTGCTAAAATTATCAGAACCAACATCTGTGTTGATAGAATGACCGGGTCATGTCAGGTGATGACCTTCTACTAAATCTAGGATAATGACATAAAAATCACTTGTTTAAGTATCATACCTCAATTTCCTTCCAAAAAATCACTTCTTTAAGTATCATTATTTTAATAACCCCCACTAATTTCAACACCCCCGAACAGTGAAATTTTGATGGCGAACAGTAGAATTTTATTACATAATCTATAAGATGAAACCTTGAATTTTACAGGAAAAATACTCCTACTGCTGGGAAAAATCTGTTAAGAAAGTATCAGTTCATTATGTAAAGCCATTTTTATAGCATTTTTTCAACTAAAATAGAATTTTCAGCTAAATGATTGCATCAAAGGCATAAACCTTGCTGCTTAAAAGAAGCAAAAAGTTTATTTTTTTTAATTTTACTAATGAAAAGATATTATCTAAACCTATGTGTTTAAAATTTTGGTAAAACTACAAAATCACAATTTGTCACAAAACTTCGAATTTGCTACTGAAATAAGTGATTTAAAAATCACTTAGTTCAATAAGTCCCCTGACTGATGATTGAAGCCTTTTTCAACAGAATTTTATAGTTTGTTCTTATGTTGTGCTGTTACACCACTATCCAAGTTCAATGGAAGGCCTGATCGCCACCGAAACATGTTTAACCCGACCACATTCTGAATTTACCTGTCACAATACAGGAGTCTGTAATTAAGTGGTTGTCTTTTGTTGATGTATATCATATTTGTTTTTGGTTCATTGTTTTGTATATAAATCAGGCCGTTAATTTTACATTTGTCATGTATGGTCTTTAATAGCTTGCTATGCAGTATGGTTTTTGCTGATTGTTTAAAGGCATACAGTCACCTATAATTGCTAACTTTTACATCATTTCGTCTCTGGTTGAAAGTTTTCTCAGTGGCAATCATACCACATCTTCTTATCTATATATTATTTAGACTTAGAATCACCAATGGGTTTAATTGGTGTTCCTTTACTTTAGCTCAGACCCCAACATGTGCTTAAAGTTCAACAAAATAGCAGATTTTAACTTTTAACCAGAATCAGGTACATGTATACACCAGAAAGAGGAGAAGGCAGTATATTTGAAGGGGAGTTGGTTTTCACTGGCTTAGTTATCTTTTCCTTGTTTACCCAAGTTCTGGGATATTCTAAAACTACATAAATTTAAACAAACAGTTTATTTAGCAGACATTATAATGGTTGAATATAATTTTATCTACAAAAAATATACAAGTATGGTCAGTTAGGGTAATACTTATAAAAGTCATGTTTATCTACTTAAAGATGTAAGTAATATTTACTTGTACATGTATAAGTAAATTTGTAAGATTTTAATTTATTTTCAAGGTTTGAATAATCTCCCTTTAATCTTCTCCCAAAGTTTACTTATATACATCATTTACATGTACAAGTAATTTTTTTTTACAACACCTTAAACACATGTTAAATTCTCAATTTAAAGGTCAAAACATGCCTAAACAAAATTTTTTCATTAGATTTTAACCTTTTTTCCTCAAAAACTAAACAAATAAATCTTTTGCACACAGGTGTTAAGTAACTGCTCAAAAGTGCTTCCTTGAGGCTTGTAAATGAGCAGTATTTTGAAGATAACAGACAAAGGAGATTTTCATTGTCCATAAAATTATACTTAAATGAATACATGTAGTAAAGACAACTATTTACGACAGACAATAAAACTCTCTATAAGCATGATAAAGAGCAATGTAGTCAAGAGAAATTCCAAAAAAGAAGAAAATAAGACCTTTTTACATAATATAAATCCTAATAGGCATGATCGGTAAACTACCCAATGACCTGGTTAGTCAGACGTCATATTTATTATATTAAAGGTTCATAGGATCAATGAGCCAGGCAGAGATGTTTAGCATGTGCAAAAAACAGGAAGTAACCCAACAACAATATTTGCTTGGCCAGTCTCGAAAGAAATACTTACTGAACTATAAATAATTCAAACTTTAACCAACATGGCCAGCCTCGGGAGAAATACTTCAGAACTATAAATAAATCTAGCTTTAACCAATTACCCCAAAATAGATAACCTAAACAAGTAAACAAAGAGACCACTGTCACATATTATGTCTCTTGATGTATAATGGGAGTCTAAATTAATATCATTTTATCATCACTTGTGTCCTATACAATATAAAATTATGCAGTATTTTTGGTCAGAACGTCTGTCGTGACAGAACAAAACAGGAATGAATATGAGATTTATAATGTAATTTGTTTATCTTTTTCGTATTACAAAACTTCCAATTCTGAAAATTATGAGAAATAGCAGTTCACATTCCTTTTATATCTGAAAACAATTACCACTATTTGTTAATAACAAAGTTATATGATGACGAAAGAGAAAATCAATTCCTTGTATGAAGTTTATCTGGTTTTCAAATTAGGAGATTAGAACAGGGACTCAGTAAATAAAAAAGAGCTCTCTAAGGGGAAACAATTGTGATAAAAAAAAACTTTATGATTTTTATGCACTTTGTGTTTATGTCGACTGGTTGACATATTAATATTTTGTATATGTCATAAAACAATGAAAAATAAGGATCGAAGTGATGAACAAAATTATCTTTACAAAAACCAAGGATTCACTATACAAATCCTTGACAAAAACAAAACTTTTTGAAGTAAATTATTCGTCGGATTTTGAGATGGTCCCCACCAGTTATCTGATTATCTCCCATGAGTATCACCCCAGTTGAGCAGAAACCTGTGTTGAAAAGTTTAATGGGGAAGCTGAAAGTAAGAAAGCTATATAAATTTTCAAAGTTTTATGATTTAATGAATTTAAAGTTTCAAGTTGGTATATTATAGACCAGCTGTCAAAGGTCACTAATATTTAATATGAACTATTCAACTCTAATTATCATGATTATAGTCTCACTAAGTCTGTTAAACTTAAATTTCTATGAATAGGATATATCTTCAAAAATAGCATTATATTAAAAATAACATTTATACAAAATAGTATTATGAAAAAATGTATTCTTTTTCATTTTATCAATGTTTACTTTCATGGATTGACTTACAGTGGTGGATCCAGGGGGGGTGGTCATGTTTGTGTCCATTGTAAGGGGGGGGGGGGGGTAGGAGGGGTCCTGATCCCGAAATCCTGAGCTTAAAAACATGGAATCCCGAGGTCCCGAATTTAAAAAAATTTAAAAAGGGAAAGTCCATAAAAAATGACAAAAATCAAATGTTATCAATCAACAGAACGTGTGAAAACCAACTGTCATATGCCTAATTTGTACAGGCATTTTCTGAAGAAAATGGTGGGTTAAACCTGGTTTTATAGCTAGCTAAACCTCCCACTGGTATGACAGTTGTATTGACAAAATTGGGTGCACAACCCAAACAGACATGATAGGTAAATGTGACTTAGAAATGAAGACGTGACTTTAAAGGTCATTGACAAATTGTTGTAAACAATATTACACCATATCCCATTGATTGATATTGTTAGATTGACCTTGTTTTTAGATCAAGGTCAACTTCAGGATGCATGTTCTGCAAATGATTATATAACATGTAAAAAAAAAAATCCAGAAAAAATTGCATATAAAACAGATTATTGTAATTATGATTTTCCATATTTTATGATTTAATGTATGTGGGACATGTGGGATGAATTGTTGATTAAGAGATGTATTTGAAATGTAACACATTTGAGCTATATACTTATCACTAATCTAAAGGTATGTATAATAGGTAAATATACAAATATTAGGTCAATGTCAGAAAAATATAAATTTTTTTGTATGAGGCTGAGAAACTGGGGAATGGCTGGATATTAATTTCTGTACATGTGTTTCTCAATTAACATCCATTGGATTCATTTAATGATTTTAGCAGAAATATTTTTGAGAAGAAAATTTGTGAATTTTGAAATCTTGAAAATTTGAAAAATTTGAAATCTACTCAAGTGTTTTACCTTAAGTACCTGTACGAACTGTGACGCCCGTCTATGACACGGAAACCAGGCGTAAAAATCATACTTTATCTGGGCGTCATTGCAGTGTTTAAGGAATGCATGTCCAGGCGTCAACCAGGCGTAAACCAGGCGGAAACCAAGCGTAACTGAGGCGGAAACCAGGCGTAAAATTAGGCGTAATATTTAAATGAGTACGCCTGGTCCAGAGAAAACCAGGCGTAATATGCAAATGAGTACGCCTGGTCAATAAATAAACCAGGCGTAATATCCTTACATAATACTACACTTATTTCAAATCAGTGTATTACCCTAGCTGTGTACTTTTGTGTATTTAATGCAAACTTCTGTACTGTTGCTTTATTTTCTCATTATTTGACATGAAACTGGAAATATTAACCATTGAAGAAGCTAATATATGAATAAATACATTTTAGACAGACACTGGCTCAAATAAGTTTAAGTTTAAATAAGAATTATGACAATTAATTTTTCTTGAAATAAAACTTCTGCATTTTGATTAACTAAGTTTTTTTTATAAATTAATGTCCTTTAAAATATAAATGATAATACTGCAATTTAACTTCATGTAAAAGATTTTAATGTTATTATCCAAGGATAAAGGTTTTGGGATTTCAAAATTTAACTGTTAGAACTTAAAACTTAATAACTTAGGTAATATACTCACATAATTATTATTTACCATGTATTACTTTCCATTTTTTTCACAATTAATTTTTATTAATCAATTTGATTCCATATTTCCAAATTCTTCCAAAAAGCACAAAACAAGCTAATTATCCCTGAATGTATGAAGCTGCATTAAGTCCAACTCTTGCAAACTCAAACCAAAAAGCCAAATTTTGAAAAAAAATTCCCATGATCCTTTAAACAAAGCATTATGGGTATTATGATTTACCCCATACCAACAGTTTTACGCCCGTAAGAAAATTTACGCCTTGCTTATTTCAATTTACGCCAGGTTTACCACTTTTTTCTACACCCGTAAGGACTACAAATTTACGTTTCCTGCTCCCTTACGCCTGGATCTAGACACGTAACTACCACTTACGCCTGGTTTACGCCTTATTTCCAGGCGTAATACGCCTTATAATTTCATACGGGTAATACTGTCAGAAAGGATGATGTGGTCATACATTTTGAAGGATAGGGCTTATTATATATATTAGATTAATAAGGAAGTTTGAAGAATGCATCTACATGAGCTAGGTCTTACTTAATACATGGGCATGATGGGAGCCCACCCTGCATACATTTGTAAATCCTCTAAGGAAAACACTATACTACTGAAACATTTTTTGAAATATATACAAGGAGTAGATCAACTAGATGCATGGATGAACTGTGTTTTATTATTTATACTTTTAAAATGTTTAACAAGGAAAATTTAACACTACTTATAAAATGTTAAAGAGTAAGATTTAACACTACTTATAAAATGTTATGAAAAAATTAAACAAGTAATCTCAAAGAAGTCACTGGATGCAATTATTGATATGGCAGGATGTTCACACCGAACAGGGTGTGTAAATTATTACATAACAGATTAACTATAAGTATTGTGCAACAGCACAGCATTGCGCAATAGCATAGTATTGCGCAATAGCATAGTATTGTGCAATAGCAAGAAAATCTTCAATTGAAAATAAATACAAATCTTTTAACCAAATTTAATGGGATTAAATTAAGTCTTTAATTTTTGGGGGTTCTAACCTTGTATTACTATTTTGGATATTGGGCCCCATTTTTAGATTGGTCTACATTGAGGTCCAAAGGGTCCAAAATTAAACTTTGTTTGATTTCATCAAAAACTGAATTATTGCGGCTCTTTGATATGCTGAATCTTATTGTGCATTTAGATTTTTTATTTTGGGCCCTGTTTTCAAATAAGTCCATATTAAGGTTTGATGGGTCCAAAATTAAACTTTGTTTGATTTCAACTAAAATTAAATTTTTGGTGTTTTTTTATATGCTGAATCTAACCATGTTGTTAGATTTTAGATATCAGACCATACTTAGGTAGATTAAATGTCCCATTTCAAATTTTTAAGATCTTTGACCACATTTATTTTGTGTCTGAAACCTATATTATGCCAAAAATTTGATCACAATCCAAATTCAGACAGTATCAAGCTTGAATATTGTGTCCAAACTTGCCCTAACTGTTCAGGGTTCGACTGCAGTCGTATAAGGTTTCGCTCGGCAAAGCATTTTATTATCATTTATTATGTCTCTAAAAACTCCATAAATATTCATTATATTTTAAAAAGCTTACAGTTTAGAGATACATAGCATAGGACAATTTATTAATTATTCTACTTCAAAATTCATAAGATTTTGTAATACTAAATAGTACATTTGTACTTCAATTTATGGACCTTATTTCACCTACTGCTTTATGTGTCTGTATACACTTAAACTTACATAAATAAATGGCCAATTTACACATTTCTGGCTTGCTCTCATTCATGAAAGCAAATATATCTCCCTGTCTACCCTATAATGTTCATAAAGTTGAGAATGGAAATGGGGAATGTGTCAAAGAGACAACAACCCGACCAAAAAGCAGAAAACAGTCGAAGGCCACAAATGGGTCTTCAACACAGCGAGAAAATCCCTCTTCAGCTGGCCCCTAAACAAAAATGTGTACTAGTTCAATGAAAATGGACATCACACTAAACTCCAAAACATGTAAATGAACTAAAATTAAAGACATACAAGACTAACAAAGGCCAGAGGCTCCTGACTTGGGACAGGCGCAAAAATGTGGCGGGGTTAAATATGTTTTGTGAGATCTCAACCCTCCCCCTATACCTCTAGCCAATGTAACATAAACAAACACACAGCAATGTTCATGCCAATTTTAGACATTTTATGGATAAATTTAAGTAACCACTGTTAAAGTCTGGTCGCTTTGGTTAAACACCGCTTAAGTCCAGGGAGTTCTCTATAGATATATAAAGTCTTTTTAAAATATTTAAAAAATTGAAGCATTTTACTTTCCTACATAGAAAAATGAAAAGATGTGGTATGATTGTTGATGAGACAACTGTCTACCAGAGACCAATGACATGACATAGAATTTAACAACTACAAGTCACAGTACAGTTTTCAACAATGAGTAAAACCGATACTGCATACTATTTTAAAGCTATATATATATAACAGGCCCCGAAATGAAAAATGTAAAACAATTCAAATGAGAAAACTAACAGCCTGCTTCAATTACAAAACAATAAACATGATAAACGAAAAACAATTATGATATTCAGCAACCACTGAATTATAGGTTCCTGACTTCAGAAAGGCACATAACAATTTAACATGCATAAGGGATACACTTTTTTCTGAGAAGACAGGAAACAAGTATATATTTTTTGTGGCCTAAATGGTTATACTTTTTTATAAGAATAAGAAGACATGACCATAGGAAGGGTTGGTTTATTGGTTTCTACTAACCATCTGAGGGAAAAGCTAGCATCTGTATGGAGACAAAACAGACTGGGTAAAGATTTACGAGTCCTTGATTCATCGTATGATTTTGATGATGACAAAACAGACGGATATAAAGATTTCTATAAACAGTATGTATATGTTATCCTTTTATCACAGAGAGGCCTCGGTGACTGAGTGTATCAATGTAGTTCATGTAGTTCATGTAGTTCATATGCAGTGTACACTAGCCTGTAAACACTAAGGTTGTTACAGTGTATTATTAGTAGCAGTATGCAATACAATACAATACAATATGCTTTATTTAAAAACACTCCATCACATTGACATGTGAAACAAGAGGTAAATACATACAAAATACAATCACATACAATCATAGAAATAAATAGAACAACTTAGAAATGAAAATATTAATAATTACTTTACTTTATGATATTTTCGTTAACTTTGAAACGAATAAAGATACATTCTTAAGTATATTAATATTAACCAATGATAGTAGTCCTTTCATTTTTGCTGCACTGGGATATTTAACATAGTATGAAACATGCTGCGGTAAGGTGCGTTTGACTCCAATCTTGATTAACTAGGATTGCCAGTTTTCCAGCCAAAAGTTGGTGGTTCTTTCTGAGTACTCAAGCTAGATAAACAAGAGTCGACTGCCATGATATAGCCTAGTGTACTGAAAGTGGCTTTAAGGTGGTACCAAACACTTTGACTAAAATTAATTTGGCTCGTTTAATTTTCATAAAATTTTGACAAAATATTTACTTTGACCCTTTGACAAAAATATGAAAATTTCAAAAAACTTAAACCACACACTTTCTTGAAAAATTTCATTGGATATATAGCAGTTTGACAAACTAATTTTGATCATTGAGAAGCTTAATATTTCCTTAACAAAAGAACGTGATTAAAACGTTGAGCTGATTTTTACAGAGTTATCTCCCTGTAGTGTTATGTTCCACCTTAAACAACAAAATCTATCTTTTTTATCACCATGTGGTGAAATCCATACATGCGCGTCCTCTTGATATTACATAATATCTTTTATCATGTTTATACACACATATTTACTTTTTAGAGCACCTGACAATTTACAAATTTAAATAAAGTTAGGTTCGTGTTGGTTAGTCGTTAGTTTTCTATGTTGTGTCATCTGTACTATTATTTGTCTGTTTGTCTTTTTATTTTTGGCCATGGCATTGTCAGTTTGTTTTCGATCTGTGAGTTTGACTGTCCCTCTGGTATCTTTCGTCCCTCTTTTCTAAATAAAATTTTAATGTAATTTCATGTAAAAAAAAAGAGATGCAAAAAATATGTTGAGATGTCATTCCTGATAGTCTGTCCAGTCTTGTCAGCACTCTCACATGTACAATTCTTGCCAGATTTTTTTGAAACTAAATATATCATAGGTTTATATCAGCAATGTCTTGGACGAGTTCAAAAATCAGTGCCGATCAATTATTATTAAAAGAGTTATGCCCCTTGGAAACATTAATTATCAGCTGTGGTTTTAATTGCAGTTTGCATCTGCAAAAAATATTGAAACCATATTAGTTTCATAAATGTTAAGATTTTAATCAGCAACCTTAAGATATATTTTATTCTTAATTTCTAGACCTTATCATAAAGTGACCTTTTCAAGCTGCTCATACCTTCCACTCATTACATAGAAAGTGTCCCCCTCCCAACCCCACCCCCAAGTATAATTTACACCATCTTTTTAGGCTCTCATATTTTTTATTGAGAAAAAAATGTTTGTGAAAGACATTTTTAACATTTTCATATATGGATGTTTAGCTTTTCAATAACGGAGCATAGGCCTTTAAAGACATGCAAGCATATTGGGTTATTATTTTTTTTTACTTGTGAAAGTCAAATTTGAACTTTTTTTGGAGAGATCAAAATTGCATGAAATTTTATCTGACTTGTAGAAGTCAGTTGTTTTTAAAACAAAAAAATGGGAGATAACTCATGACACCAAACATTCTGACTTGCATAAGTCAGAAAATTCTATCTGGTTAAGTCAGACATGTCAGAGCTCCTACTGCCTGTGTAAAGAAAGTTTTGATTGGCAAAATTCAGGTTTACTGTTTACACCTTTTTTTTAGTCCCCTACTGATGAAGTCGATGGGGACTTTAGGTTTTCACTCGGTCCGTCCATCTGTTGGTCATGCAAATCAGTTTTCCATGGTTTTTTTCTTCATGCTTGAAGATATTGATTTGAAATTTGATATATAGTTTACACCATCACAAGGTGTAGATCAAGTTAGCATTTTATTTGTTCCAGTACAACGAATTCTTAACCGGTATGGGGACTATGTATTGCCATGCAATACTCTCAGAATGCTTGTTTAAATTGTAAACAGCAAATTTTGAAAACTGAGTGCTTGTAAGTGGTATGCTATTTATTAACATCTGTTTATGCTTATCTACTTATATTTTGTGCATGTAAAAACAGGTTCCAGATATCACTTATTCTCAATACAATATTTCTTATATGAACACATTTTTTTGTTACAGGGGCCACATACCATCCTCAGTATATTTTAATCCACAGAATTGTTCAAAGAGCACTGCACTAATTCCATTTGACTTGCCGGACCCTCATTGCTTCACAGATTATATACAGAGTCTTGGTGTTTCACCAGATACACATGTTGTATTATATGACAGACTCAATTCTGATGCTGCTCTCAGAGCTTGGTGGCTTCTCAGGGTAATATGATATAATTATTAATTTACAGAGCTTTCATGTTTTAATGTGATAGAGAGTTACAATGGGAGATTTTCAGGTTAAATAGTAAAAATGTATTCACAAAAATACCAAACTCCAAGGTAAATTCAAAAAGCTGGAAGTCTATAAAAACTAACAAAATCAAACGCAAGACTATATCAACCAATGGAATGAATGGTTAACAACTGTCATATTCCTGACTTCATACAGGCATTTTCTGAATAAAATGGAAGTTTGACAGTTCTTAGAAATGTTTTTGTTTTCTTTTTTTCCCCCATTAGTTGGTATACTAGAGTCAGACATCACCAAGAGATACTTTACAAAATGATAAATAAATAAAAAATAAACAATTTGCCATGAAATATAGATATGCAGCATAACAACCAAATGTACCTGCCTGCTTTAACATGAAATTAAACTTTTGCCATGGAAAAGATTTAAATAAAATATAAACAAAAGTTGTCAAAAACAAACCAGAACTAGTCAAAACATAAGATAAAAAGTAGTCAATACAGTAGTCAAAACATAAACCAGAAGTAGTCAAAATATCATGCAAAAGTAGTCAAAACATAAACCAGAAGTAGTCAAAATATCATACAAAAGTAGTCAAAATATCGTACAAAAGTAGTCAAACATAAATCAGAAGTAGTCAAAATATAATACAAAAGTAGTCAAGACATCAGACAAATGTAGTCAAAAGAGAAACAAAATGTAGTCTAAAATATCTGACATATGTAGTCAATAGATATACTAGAAAAAATCAAAAGACTACAGTTACCAGTACTAAACAAAGTGAAAACATTCTCCCAAGTGGTCAAAACATAAACCAGAAGCAGTGAAAGTATCAAACAGATGTAGTCAAAACATTAGACAAAAGTAGTCAAAAGAGAAACTAGAAATATGACTTATCTATAGCTACAAAATGTACTTACCAGTAGCTTTAAAATGGACATCTCTGGTACATTATGCAAATTTCGCCTTAATGAAAAACAGTTGATAGCATGTGGAATAATAGTACTACACATGTGATAAAAGCTTTACTTTCAGATACAAGGTCTTAGTTAATACCGGAAAAATTACGTAAGATCTGTAAACATAAAAAATCAAATGCGATATTTTGAAATTTTATCAGAAATGAAAGCAAGTGACGAATCACATTTTCTGCAAGAAGCACGAATATTTTATAAACCAAGCATTAAATTTTATAAGATCTCTCACCTTTTTTTTTTTAAGATGAAAATTTGTTTGTCTCACAGTCACATACCCATAACTCTCTTTCTTTGATTACATTTTGTGTGTATTGTATAGTTGTATGGCCACAGAAACACATCAGTATTAGATGGAGGACTCAGGAAATGGGTGAGAGATGGTTATCCTGTTACTACAGAGGAACCAGCTGTAGAGGTATAGAGCTGAAAATATTTTACAGGTCATTTTGTTGCTTTTTTCTGAAGGGCTATAGCAAAATTGCAGTTGAAATGGTTAAGTTTCCAAGTCGGAAAAAAAATCTAGCTTTTAGAGTGTTCTTTGCTTGTTTGTCTTAAGTCATATATATGTTAATTTGATAAGCACAAAGTACACTTTCTCTCTGAATACTTTTTTGAACAAGGGTTGTGTTTTTTTTATAATTTTTAAGATTTTCTAACAGCATGCAAAGCCGAAAAGCTTACAATTAAGTGTAGTGTGCGGCTTTTGTATAATTATTTCATGTATTTGTTGGGCATTACCATATTGCCCATAGAAAGGAAATATCAAAAACAGATAGTAATGTATTAATGATGTATATATTTTAAATGAATTTAATTTTTAAATCTGTAAATTGAACAAATTTTGAAATACATCTAGTTTAAGGGTCAATTTGCATTAAAAACCATTACCTTCATTTGAATGAACTGTAATTGAGATCTTACTGACTATTAAATTTTCTGTGATCATCTTGTGATGTTAATGACATATTCAATGTATTGGAAAGAATTGATAGGGTTCAAAGAAAAGTATTTTTGTAATTTTTAGACTCAAAAATGCAAATTACATATATAAAAATTGTACATAAAACTTTGGATTTTACAATCGAGTAGTTGCATGACCTCAAGGTATAGGTGATTTTGCATAGTACAATCTGTTTTTTTGCATTACTTTAATTATAGTTTTCCAGAAAAAAACATACGGTAGATTGATTAATTTTTTTGGGATACCAATTTTCGTGGATTTAGGAAAAATTGCATTTTCGGAGATACCGTGGATTAATTTATTTTCTTTGACACAAATTTTCGCAGATTAAGGACACATTATTTTTTTGTGAATATTTGATTTCGTGGTTTTGCCAAAGTCTGCATTCAAATCTATAGAAAATTTGAACTTCGTTGAACATTTGAATTAATGGTAAGCCTATACCCACAAAATCAACAAAACTGGTAACCTCTTAATTCACAGTACTTGATTTAGTGGTTTTGCCAAAGTCTGTATACATTTCTGTAGAACTTTATATTATTTTGGTAAATGATAGTTTCTTCTTCCTTTTGTTATTGATCAGAGAGGTGATTTCAAATCCAGACTTGATAATTCATTGATGAAGAACTACCACCATATGAAGGACAGTGTGAATTCACAGAAAGAGGAAATAATTGATGCCCGTGGTCCAGGTGCATTTAATAAAGTAATACAGACAGGTAAAGGTAACATTATAGCTGAGGTTTATAGAGAAGGATTAAGGGGGCCCAGGAGGTACGTGCCCCCCCCCCCCCCCCCCCCCCCCCCACCCACCCACCCACCTATGGAGCTACATACTGTAAATTCAGAAATTATTGCGAGGTTTTTTTATTTATTTGCGAATAATTTGACTTCATGTGTATCGCAATAATAAGTAATAAGAACTCGCATTCTGATATCAGATAATCAAATACATCCATTTGTATGTAACTTTTCCTAAAATTGCAATAATTAAACTTGCTTTTTTGTTCATTCTTCATAAATCGCTATAATAAATGCACACAATAATTTCTGAACTTACAGTATATGGTTAATTTATATACTTTATACATATCCCACTCCAAATGTTACCTAGTTTCGGGGCCCTGGCCCTCCCCCCTTTAAAATCCTGGATCCGCATCTGATTTTATACTCAATTTCACATCAGCAGTTATCTTATTACTATTGTTTTTACATATATGCAAACACAGTGATCTTATAACAATGGTTGAGGTACATAAGGGCTTTATTTGGCCTGAAATAAAGTTTAAAAAAATCATATGAATGAGTTTAATGGCACCATCACTTTGCTATGTAATAAGTAGGCTACCAAATACCAATTTAAAATCAACCAAAATCTTGGATTTTCACCAAAACACTTAAATCTGACCTTTCTCTTTTTTGTGAGGACATGTTTCCTGAACCACTGGTTTTTAGTTTTGTATTATCTCAACTTAAATACAAACATTAACTGGAAATTGTATATTACAATTACAAAACAAATATCAGTTAAAAATCTGGCCAAATAAAGAGAAAAGGAAATACCAGTTTTCAAGTCTTGAGTTTGACCTTGCAAGGAATCTAACCCAGCCAGGACCTCCCCACTCAAAAAATGAACCAAGAAGTAAAATTATTGATTTGGTGGTATTACACCCACTTCCAAGTGTTTGTGTCAGAATCAACGATAACAAAACTTTTTGAAAAAAAAGTTGTTCTTGTTATTAGTGCCCACCAAATATGACCAGATAAGACAGGAAAATGAAAGATATACGATATATATATACCGGTATACTGTAAAAATTTCAATAAAAACAGCGCAAAGGACAAATATATACGAAAATAAAAAAGTCGCGCAAGTACAAATATTTAAGAAAATAAAAAAGCCATGCAAGTACAAATATACAAAGTGCAATGTGAAATGATTTCTAATACATCGATATATATGCATTTTTTTCTTTTTTATTTTCTTACACTTTTATTATGTATGTATATACATACATAAAACAAAATATTAGAAAGTACAATAGACCACACCAACACTGACTTGCAAACGACTTCTCAGCAAAAAATAGACATAAATAGAAAGAAAAAAATAACTAACAACACATGATAAAAATACAACATGCATAAATTCGGTGCTAAATGGAAAAACAGGTTCATATATATATATGGGTTCTCTACCATTGTCTGCTGTATTTTTACTTATGTGCTATTTATATTTCTTTTCTTCTTCAGGTGAAATAAAGAACTTTATTCCAGGTGCTAAAAATATACCATATAGATCATTGTTTAATGAAGATGGAACCTTTAAAGCTGTAGATGAAATTAAGGAATGTAAGAATATAGTTATTTTAATAGCTCCAAGCTAAATGTTATTTTCTACATAGTTCTTACACGATCTTAGTACATATTTGCAATTTGTTTTTTGCTTATAACTTGAACTGAGGCATAAATTTAAAAAAAAGAGATGTGGTATAATTGCCTATGAGACAACTACATCCCTTGAATGATGTTCGCTTCCCAATAAATGGCGCATGTGAATGGTGTGTGCTGCATCAGGAATATTTTATGCTATTTTGAAACTTCAACAGTTCGTTTCATAAAAGATGTATTGAAATTTGCATTTCCTTAAACACTTCACACTGGCTGTAATTTTGAATGGTGTGAATCATGTATGATTCATGTTGGAAATTGGGAAGGGGAGTGTCATATGATGTATGTTGTATGGTATTTGGTGCATGGTGTATGGTATAAGTGGGAGGTTTAACCATTCAAGGACTGTATTCACCAAACACCTACCATACTTAACATATCACATAGGACCTGAGTGGCCAACAATGAGCGAAACCCATACTGTACAGTGAGCTAAGAAAAGCCCCAAAATAACACAATGAAACAGAAGAGAAAAACCAATCTAAAAACCACCATAATGGCACAGTAACCAACAACAGCTAATGAGCTACAGGTTCCTGGCTTGGGACAGGCACACAAACATTATGTGGTGAGTTGTGCAAAAATGAAAAGGTGCACATGATTTATTACCACCTACGCTAGGCACAGGGGGGGGGGGGGGGCATTAAGGTTCACGTTTGTCTGTCTGTGCATTCATACATTTGTCTCGAAATTAATTTCCATTCTCTTTAGAATTCAGTTTTTTCAACCAAAGGTTTGAAAATTCTACACAATGCTTAATACAAGCAAACAGAGATCAAGTTCAAACTTGGGTGGCGTCACTTTCACTATTCTCAAGTTATGTCCCCTTTTAAATGAAAAAAATGCTGAATTTGCTGTATATTTACAATCAGGGACATCTGTGTCCCATGGACACATTCTTCCTTTATCTAGTGTCACGTGTGATAGAATTTGAAAATGTCTTTCTTATGGTTGGTAATATACCCCAAGTTCTACTGATTCCCAATCAATAAAAATGATTGCCATGAAACTGTGCAGATATATATACAACATGGCTTTAAACAAACATAAGAGACAAAATGAAGCAAAATTTGAATTGGATTTTCCTTAGTTCTTTACAAAATTACATTCACCTTCCATGAAATATACATCTAATAAGCTGACATCTATGGAAAAAGACAATTCAACTGTCATTCATTAAAGCAAAGGGATATGGTGTACTTGTTCATGACACTAAATCCCTACACACACTTTACAAAACATTAAACAACGAAACAGCACTTTATTGCTGTTCTTCATCTTAAGCTCTTCAATGGGGAGAAAAAGCTTGTGTGTAATTGCTTTGTTGAAGACAGCTTCAGCACCAGTTTTAGTAAAATTATTTCATTTCTTTTAATGTTGATAGTGATTCAATACTGCACTTAGGGATGAATATTCATGATAATAATTTAAACTCATATCAAGTGTGTGCTGATAATGAATACAAAAATTATAATAACTTGTGTAATATTGGTAAATGTATTGTGTTAATATCTGTATGTGTTCTATTATTTTCAGTATTTAACAAACAAAATGTTGATTTAAGTCGTCCATTGATAGCAATGTGTTACAGAGGAATAACCGGCTGTGCTTTGTCTGCTGCAGCTGAACTTCTAGGCAAACATGATACACCTCTATATTATGTAGGTTTAAATCTCAAATCAAACATGATACACCTCTATATTATGTAGGTTGTATCTCTAGGCAAACATGATATACCTCTGTATCGTAAAAGTTTAACCTCCAGGCAAACATGATCAACCTCTATATTATGTAGGTTTAATCTCAAATCAAACATGATACACCTCTATATTATGTAGGTTTAATCTCAAATCTCAAATCAAACATGATACACCTCTATATTATGTAGGTTTAACCTCCTGGCAAAAAAAGAGGGACGAAAGATACCAGAGGGACAGTCAAACTCATAGATCGAAAACAAACTGACAACGTCATGGCCAAAAAATAAAAAGACAAACAGACAAATAATAGTACAGATGACACAACATAGAAAACTAAAGACTAAGCAACACGAACCCCACCAAAAACTGGGGGTGATCTCAGGTGCTCCGGATGGGTAAGCAGATCCTGCTCCACATGTGGCACACGTCGTGTTGCTTATGTTATTACAAATCCGGTCAATAGTCTAATTTGGTAAGTCACATTCGTGAAAAGGGAAGGGTATTGTAGTTACGACATAAGGAACATATCCGATATCATCTGTGAAACGGTTATTCCATAACGGTTAACCAACTCGTGATGGCGTCCGTAAAATTTACGAAGGGATGACTTCAACTTCACCATTTGAAACTCTTGGTTTAATAGCTTCCTTGTGAGCAGCAATCCTCTATCAAGGAAATCATGATAGGAAACACAAGCCCGGGAATATCGTATCAATTGGGAGATATATACTCCGTATGCAGGCGCTGCTGGAATGTTGCTACATAGAAATGGAAAGTTCACAATTGGGAAGCTGAAATCATCTCTTTTGTCGCAAACATGATACACCCCTATAGTATGTAACCACTGGACGTTAAGCAACCAACAATCAATCATATATCTTATAGGTTTAACCTCTTGTAGCAGAATTTGATAAAACTCAGCATTATGTAGATGGTTGTAATTTCAAGGCAAAATTGAACGACATATGTAATACATTCAATACATAATTCTGTTTAATTTCTAAGGGCATTGCAATCTGTCAACACTTACCAAACATTTAAAATCCACAATAAAACAAGTCAAATCAGTTAATGTGTACTTTAATATTTCATTATAACTGGAACATTTTATGCACAGGTTTTTGCACTCTCTCAAAACTTGTCTTTTTATATCAGACTGAATGACTGAAAATATTATTTTTTTTAATTGTTTTAGTAATTTTCAGGGTTCATGGAAAGAATGGAGTGGAAGAATGGCTGAGTAACAAGAACATTGCTGTATATTCATAAAAACCTATGAAGATTATTCACCCATAGCATTATAAGCATATCAACTACGTAATTTTTACGAATTTCATACTTTGAAAAATTTGATTTTACTACATGTATATGAATATCATATTAACCTAGAAATATGTTTTAATCTGTGTGATTTTGTTATAACTTGTAGATTATATTTTGTATTTGGTGATATATTTGATTATTAAACTAATATACAAGTCCTTTGATCCTCAATTATATCTTGCTGAACTGATAAATCAGTAAAAACTTGTACAACATAGTTTTAGTTTGTTTTTATGTTGTACTTATATAACATTATCCCAGGTTACAGGGAGGATCTGGTGCATACAAACAATTTTAACCCTGTCACATTCTGTATGTGCCTGTCCCAGGTCAGGAGCCTGTAATTCAGTGGTTGTCGTTTGTTGCTGTATATCATATTTGTTTTTAGTTCTTTGTTTTGTACATAAATCAGGCCGTTAGTTTCCTCGTTTGAATTGTTATGCTCCACCTAGGGGCATTATGTTTTTCGGTCCGTGCGTCCGATCGTCCGTCTGTCCCGCTCAGGTTAAAGTTTTTGGTCAAGGTAGTTTTTGATGAAGTTGAAGTCCAATCAACTTGAAACTTAGTACACATGTTCCCTATGATATGATCTTTCTAATTTTAATGCCAAATTAGAGTTTTGACCCCAATTTCACGGTCCACTGAACATAGAAAATGATAGTGCGAGTGGGGTGTCCTGCTTCAGGTTCAAGTTTTTGGTCAAAGTAGTTTTTGATGAAGTTGAAGTCCAATCAACTTGAAACTTAGTACACAGTTATGTTCCCTATGATATGATCTTTCTAATTTAATGCCAAATTAGAGTTTTGACCCCAATTTCACTGTCCACTGAACATAGAAAATGATAGTGCGAGTGGGGCATCCGTTTACTATGGACACATTCTTGTTTAACATTTATCATTTCAGGGCCTTTTATAGCTGACTATGCGATATGGGTTTTGCTAATTGTTGAAGGCCGTACAATGACCTATAATTGTTAAATTCTATTTCATTTGGCCTCTGGTGGAGAGTTGTCTCATTGGCAATCATACCACATCTTCTTATTTTTGTATTAGATTTTCTGTAATGCATTCATAGGATCTGAAGTGATTAATGTTAAATGTTTATCAATGCATAACTTATTTTTGGCATCTATCTTGAAATGAAACTATAATACTAATAGATAAAAAAATAGTGAAAACAGTGAAAATGATTAGCAAATTAAGATCTGCAAATAAGTCAACATATCCCAAACTATCAACAGACTTCTTGAAGCAGTTGTTTCCCTTGAATTACAGTTTTGCCAATGTTTTTGCATGTTTTGCTATTTTATTGAAAACTATAGTAGATCAAGAGAAACTGTAAACATAAAAAATTATCAGCAAAATAAGTTAGAAACAAATAGGTTATACATGAGCCAAATTGTCCATCAACTAAAAGGTGTTATTGCCCTTGCATCAACGTTTTTTGCCCAGTTTTAGTTTTATTTGGCAAAAATAGAAAGAAACTAAATATTATAAGAAAATCAAGTTCTACAAATAGATAACATGATTGAATCTGTCAAATGACTCTTTAAAGAATTATTGACTTTCAATAACTAGTTTGACAGTTTATTGCACTCTTGGCTAGTTTCGTAAAACTATGATAGAGAGAGAAGAAGTGAAAATTGTCAAAATAATCAGCAAGATCTACAAATAATTCAAACATACTAAACTTGCAATCAACTCTTGAAGGAGTATTAAACCTTAAATGAAGACTTTGTTTAGCCTGTTTGGCAATTATATTCCAAATTATAATATATAGAGAGAAGCTGTAAACAGCCAAATTGTCCGAAAGATAAATTTTAGATTGTCCATAAATGGTGTTTTTTATCTTTTTCTTCAAATTTTGATTTTTTTGTCAACTATCTGAAAACTTTAATACGTAGAGTCACACTATTAGCAGCAAAAGTGATCAGTAAGAAAAGATCTATAAATAAATCAGCATGTCTGAAATCGTCAATTGGCTCCATTGTAGGTGTTATTGCCCTTGAGACATTTTTTACCAGTTTTTGCCTACCGGTTTTTGGATATTTTCTTAAAAACTATAATAGACAGAGAGAAAACAGCAAAATGATTAGCTAGACAAGATGTACATATAACTAAATATAACTGAGTGCATTAATTTTAAAGGTGAAACCAAGGATTTGTATAGTAAGACTATACAAATCCTTGGTGAAACCAGAGACATATATTCAATCGTATTATATGTCTCTGGTGAAACTGAATATTATTATTGTAGTGGTATAGTTTTGCATGGTGAGTAAATCAAGCATGTATGGCACTTGAATTGTCTGCCTAAAACATGGCAAAAGGACTGAAGATCCTTTTGCCAGGTTTCATATGGCCATGAACTCAAGTTTCAGGTTCATTTGTCAATGTGAATCAGTTGTACATATCTGTCTGGCAGGATTCATCTATTTTTGACCTCAATTTCATGCATGGCTCATTTGTAAGGGATAAAGCCTTCGGTGGTTTAGTCCATTGATCAGATACCCATAAGCAATCCTATTTTGATGTTTGGAATGATTGTAAGGTGTACATACCTGTCTGGCTGGGTTCATATAACATTGGCCTCATTGTCAGGGTTCATTGTTTCCGAGTGAGTCTCAAGTTTTTTTATGATACTAAAAGCAAGAGGTTTGATAAATATGGTACATGGATATGGAATGATTGTAAGTTGTACATGTCCGTCCGATAGAGTCATCTGACATTGACCTTATTTAAATTGGTCATTGATATAAACGTTAAGTTATTTCAAAGACTTTATATAAATCAATCATGATCTGCAAAGAAGGTGAGACATTTCAGCGTATGAACACTTTTTTCAATTTGCAGAATATTTGTAAAAATACCAAAGCTAACCAAGTGCAAGTATTTAGTTCCATCAGAGACGTATATAATAAAAAAAACAAATGATATGGAGTATCCATCCATGACCAAAAAATCAGTACATGCACAGCAAAAAAAACACAAAAGCAAAGGAACAGCGCTTGTATTGCTGTTCTCCATCTAAAAGTCACAGTGAGGCCTTCAACACCGGAAAGGGGGGGGGGGGGGGGGGGGGAATCTTCACCTCACTGCAAATTTAAGACGGCCCTAGCACCGGCTTGAGCGGAATTCTTTTGGATAGACTTTGTAAGATGTAAAACCAATCGGGCCCGGTCATAAAGAACATACTGGAAAGTAGTACATATTTGAAACAAATATATATTTCTGATTCCATTAAATTTTCACAAAATCAGTACATGCACAGCAAAAAAAAAAACTCACCATTAGCAAAGGAACAGCGCTTTTATTGCTGTTATTCATCTCAAAGTCACAGTGAGGCCTTCAACACGGATCAAAAAAACTCTCACCTCACTGCAAGTTTAAGGACTGTCCGTGAATAATTTGAAATCACGGACCTACATGTAAACGGCGAAAACTTCAGTCCAATTCCCCCGTACTCATATCACACAAGTAAACGAACTCTAGATAGAATCATATACATGTATCTTAAAATGTATCTCATTCTATCCCTAGTTTGTTCACTCTTTGTTAGCATAAAAGCAAGGTCAATATTTTGTAACAGCGACTGTGTGATAGAGCTTACAGGAAAGCTTTTTTCCTTTTTTCAGACACAACTGGTTACTACCGATGCTGCTACGGAATTGCTGATGGAGAAGGAATCGGAAGTAGACAAAAACTACTCTGTGTACAGACTTACCCGGGCTGTCCAGTTGGTAGAGTTTTAAAGCCTGGCATCCACTAGATATATAAAAGTTGAATGCATTTTGCATTTCAGAATGATTAAATCTTTTTTGGATCTTAATGGGCATTTTTTTCGATCCTGCAGAAGGTGTAAAAATAAACTAAGTTGGATTAATATTACTTTTTCTGTTAAGTCTGTTTTTGAGATATCCATTTGACGTGACTCTGTACTTATGTATCCCGTCATACTTTGAACGACAAAATTATTATATTTATTAATATTACTTTTACTGTTAAGTCTGTTTTTGTGAAATACATTTGACGTGACTCTGTACTAATGTATCCCGTCATACTTTGAACGACAAAATTATTTTATAGTTACCTGTACGAATTTCAAACGCGCGATTTTACGCCAGTACTTAAAACCTTCCATCCTTTATGGATGGATTTTACATAGATAAATAAAATCGTATAATAATAAAGCAAAATGAGGATGTTAAATTTGATGTACATGCCTTTTTGTGCTTCTTCGTTACATTTGTTTGTTTTTATAGTGATTAAGATGATAACACAATGTTGACTGCTGTACCCCTATTTTTGAAATTTTACCTATTGTGTCTGTTTGTTTTGTTCACGCATCGTTGTCAGTATAATGGAATTTGATACGACTGTCATACAAGTGAGAGGTTCAGCTAGCTATAAAACCAGGTTCAATCCACCAAGCCAGCTACAGACCTCAATTAAACTGATTGAAAGAATATGTCTTCATCATATGAATATCAGGCACACTCCCTCCTGTTAGGGGTTTAGTATTATATCATCATAAAATATATGAGAAGAACATAACCCGTGTCATGCCAACAACTGGTTTTAGAGTAAATGTGTTTAATTCCGATGCAAAGACCCTATAAGTGAATCAATATTAAAGCCAAAATATGCAATCTTTAATAACCTGACAACAGTATCGTAACTATATCCCTTCTTAATAAGTCTGTTTAAAGGTTTTGTTAGCTTTTGAGGTGAATACTGACATTTTTGTGCTTTGTAAAGAATATTACCATAAAAGATTGGATGTGAAATACCCAAACGTATAAGATGTCTGCATGTTGAGTTATATTTACGAATGATGTCCTTATACCGATGATAAAATTTAGTAAATGTTTTGACTAGTTTATGATATCGAAAACCCTGGTGTAATAATTTTTCAGTAATACATAAATTTCTCTCGCTAAAATCTAATACGTTGTTACATACACGTCGAGCGAATCGTACAAGTTGAGATATATAAACACCATAAGATTGTGACAAGGGAACGTCACCATCTAAAACCTTGATTTTTTCTCAGATACTATTCATTATGTTGAACCATTTTGACAAACAGATTTATTTTTTTGTTAATTTTTCCGTATTATTCATTATATATCATATATCATTATATATTATTTAGAATAA